CCCCCTGTACCCCCCTCCCCGCCCTTCCATCCTCAAAAGTTTTTCAGCGGATTTGGGCTGTACTCAGCAAGCGCATTACAGACCTGAACTCAGATTTGGGAAAAAAAAACAGTGGATGGCCCTCTACAGACTGCCGCCAGTCCGCCTACGGGTCGGCGCGACTGGTCGGCAAGCCGACGGCCTATGGTAGGCATTGGCCGTAGGCGGTCTAACAACTCTGATTTTATGCATGAACTGATACACTGTCGTTTTTGCTGGCTCGATCGTCTTTGCAGGTCGTCTGCCAATCGCAAGTGAGGAGTTTCTTCTCCAATCAGTGCAGCGCAGTTTGTCCTATGGAAACACTCTCTTTTCATCATCGCATTCTGCCTGTAGCTTTAAGTAAGACTCATTTTTGTAAGCTTCGTTCAACATTAGTGATGAATTATGCTCTGAGTGTTTTGTAGGCTTGGGACGGGTGGGTGAACCAACTGTACCATGCCTCTTCGGTGTCAGCAAGGCCATCTTCATTTGGTCAGGATTCGCAGCCTCTGCACTCTAAGTAAGTGAGACTTAGACTTGTACTGCTTTGTGGCTGTAATTGGTCCTGGAGACCCCCAGTAAAGGCCGACAGTGAGTATGCTCCAAGCGTTATGTAGCCTTGGGATTTGAGTCCAGAAAAGGGTTGTCGGGTCTATCGAGGGGCATAGGAGGGGTGTGTTCCTGTAGGGCTTTCACTCTCTACTTCCAACCCCGTTCCCTTGGCTGTGGTTTTGCAGGATGGTAGATAGAGACAGTGTGCAGGGTTTTCTCTTATTTTAGTGTGGCTAGTAAACTCTGCTTCAAACAGAGTTTTGTATCTGCTTGAACCAGAGTTTATGTCTGCTTGAAGCCTTAAACCACCTGTACACCTGGGGCTGTGGTCAAGTAGCACCGAGCCTCGAAAATTTCGGGAATAAGCCATGAAGAAGAAATCTTGCAAGGTTGGGGCCGTGTACTAGCGGTTTAGAACTGAGTTTATATCCGGTTAAAACTTCAAAGTTAATACCGAGTTCATCATCTGTATGTACACAAGTTTGTGGTCTACCTGCTTTATGGGGACCGATGGTAACACACATGGAGCTTGTGGGATGGATGAACAGACGGTAAAACTTAGAACTGAGTTTATCTCTGGTTAAAACTTAAAGTCAATACAGAGTTTACCATCTGTATGTGCTATGTACACAAGTTTGTGATCTACCTGCTTTATGGGGACCAATGGTAACACACATGGAGGTTGTGCGATAGATAAACAGATCAAGAGTTCGAGTCCTGTTGGGTAAATGTGGTTAATATGTGGGACAAACAATCAACCACACTCGTACTGGATCACTGATACTGTATATAGGGCTATAATCTCTTGCTGTAGTGGACCTTGTTCAGTTCTCTTCTGCACTATTCTCGCCGTCTAAACGCTGTGCAGAGTTTGTAACCAACGACGGGTCAAGAATTGCGTACCTGGATTGAGCCCTACTGGATGAGGTTCGAACCCAGCGTTTGCACCCAGTTACACTCCTACACGATGAACACTTCACTATCATGATCCTTGTTCAGTTCTCTACCTCGCTGCTCGCTTCTTCTTCTTCTTCTTCTTCTTCTTCTTCTTCTTCTTGTGCATCTTCACATTACTTCTCTATCCTCTGTACTCAAGGTTGCGCGTGCTCGGTACTGGGCATCTAGCAATGGAGGAGATACCCTCTACTTGTGGCTAGTCGCTGCCGTCCCTACGTTGCTAGGCCTTGGCAGGGTGCAGGTGCTTGATATGGATATAGAGGATATTGCACAGGCAGTGCTTTCTTGTCATAAAAATTCTGTGTCTTTGGCTTCCTTCTTCATATTAGACACAAAGTCGCTCTCACAAAAGCGAGCTATTTTTGGCTTTCTCTTTTGGACACGAGCACCGGAAAAAAAAGTGCTTTGCTCTCGCACGAGCTGCCTTTGGGTTGCGTCTTCATACTGAAGCATGAGAGTACCTGACAAGCACTTCGCTGTGGCTTTCGTCTTTGCTTTCCTTCTCTTCTACGCCCTCAAGTCAGCAACTAAAAGCACGCACTTCTAGCGTGTGTGCTTTTAGTTGCTGCCTGTGAGGCAGCCTTCCTGTCACGTGTAAACGAGGAACGTGGCTCTGTATTATTGCTCACTCGATAAACCAGCTGACCGATTTTTGCTCCTCTGATCATGCAAGCTCAGGAGTCAGGGCGATGTCAGACGTATCGTTATGTTTGCTAGAAGGCAAACCGGGCCGTGGACTCTCGAAGTGAAATGGGCTTGTCACACAGATAGTGTAATTATTCTTCCCATCTTGTAACTATTCTTTGCATCAGGACTTGAACTCATGGTCTGTTTATCAACAGTTACATGTCGTGGACTGCTCAGCCACAAGGCTAGGTGGCTGGTCTCACATCTATGTCCATAGCTCTCCGCCTCTTTCTCAACCGCGCCGTATGTTGAGGCAGAGGGATGTATTGTTACTTTTGATGCCGAGCTTGCCAATTTTCATCTCTGTCTATGCTTAGATCAGAGCACAACCACATCTTTCACATGTGGTGTACAAGAGAAACCCAATCAAGTGGAAGAGGGGTAGGGTTGTGTGTGTCCGTGGATATATATTGACAGTATATATATATATATATCCCCTCATTTGTTGTCCTCTTCTCCCTCTCTGCCTACGGTTTACCGGGCAGTTCTATTTGACGATATATACAGCCCCTCGTTTGTTGTCCTCTTCTCTCTCTCTGCCTACGGTTTACCGGGCAGTTCTGTTTGTGACGATATATATATCTGTTCAACGAAACAGTTTGTCACGGCCCCTTGTTTCTTGTCCTCTTCTCCCTCTCCGACTACGGTTTACCGGGCACCTCTGTTTGACGATATATATATATATATATATATAGATAGATAGATAGATAGATAGATAGATAGATAGGGATAGATAGATAGATAGATAGATAGATAGAGAGA